TTTGGTGTTGAGGTCACATCAAACGTTTTTTTAAAAACAGCCCACCTAAGGTCAGCTGCCTTACTCGGAATCGAAACAACATCCAAAGTGACTATCTTAGAACACGAGATTTATCGACACTCAATCAAAAGTTAAATACAAGTGCCTGGGATCATAACGGTAACTGATAACTCAATTTGCAACTGCTACTAGTCCTTTCACATTATTCATTCCGTTTGGATATTTTGTCGGATGATCGACCAGAGAATGTTATTCTGCAAATAAATACTAGTGTCTGGGATCATGATTGTAAGTCTGATAACTGTTTCATTAGAAATTCCCCGTTAACCAACTGTTTTCATTTCTAGTGGATGCACCGTTAGATTTATCACGTCCAACAGTATCAGCCAATGAAACCATAGCTTTATCATCACCATTAAGTCCAACAACAGCTATTCGAAACAGTCTTCATTCACTTCGACCAGTCATTTCTGGCCAACCACCATCGAAAAGAATTGCTTTAGATCGAGAAGCGGGTCAACTTCTAACAACTGAACAAGCTTTGGAACAAATGAAAGGGATAGAAGAGCGTGCGAGAAAGAAAAAAGCACTGAGAAAAAAACCAATCGTGACCTCAACACCAAAACGCGCTGCTGGTAAAGCAAAATCGAAGAAAAATTGTGCTTTATAGAAGGTAAGTTTAAAATACACGTGAAGGAACTGAAAATCGTAGCATGTTCTGCAGCTACCGTTTAGATTTGCTAAAGGATATCGATGATCCACCCGCATCCTCGTCTAATCCATTCACATCAACAACATCTACATTATCAACAATTTCTACTACATGTAACCCAACAATAACTGTCTCTCCTCCGACAACATGTGCGTCATTGTTGGATATCCCACAATCATCATATTTAGATCCACCATCATGCTTAGTTTCGTCTACTCCATATAATATACCAGGTATGATAGATACTAATTATGATAGGCATATTTTACTTAAAAATAATAGTATTTTAATTTCTATAATAGTAATAAAAATAGTATATTTTTTTAAAGTACATTTTCTAGAATACTCAAACTTTCCGACAACAATAGCGTCGACGAATACATTTTATCCTTATCCGCCAATGAGCATCACTGATATTTATTCATCTAATCCTCTTCATCTTTACCGTTCTACTACTAATTCATCATCAAGTTTAACATCATTCAATAATCCAATTCAATTCCCAAAATGTTTTAAATGTCAATATCAATCGAATAATCTAATGCCTTGTATTACATGTCCAAGATATATATGTTCTAATTGCATTGGTTTTAATAATTCTCAATCCTACTCATGTATATTTTGTACAGTTAAAAACTCAAACATATTTGTCGACGAGTTTTGAATAAACTATAACACCATACACCCATAACTTTTGATTGAATGTCGATAAATCTCGTGTTCTAAGATAGTCACTTTGGATGTTGTTTCGATCCCAAGTAAGGCAGCTGACCTTAGGTAGGCTGTTTTTAAAAAAACGTTTGATGTGACATGAAGAGAATTGTACGAGGTTTATGAAAAGTTGAACTTGTTCGTGATCTGATTATTAATTAAGGTTCTAATTA